GTTCATGTTCTGTTGTTTTGTATACTTCATCTGTTCGTATGTTGTATACTCATTGTTTGTTAAATAAAGTTTAAAAACAAAAACAAAAGCAAAAAAACAAACTCTGGAGCAGATAATGGCCTGATTTTATTGGCCGGTCATCCTAGCGGATGTGCGCCAATGGTGCGCATTCTGCCTGGAGTTTCAGCTGGTTAACCAGCCAGCCATTCCCAAAGTTCCTTTGCACTCACTGACATTAATAGAGGTCCCTTTTGAGCGCATAGGTATGGTCCTCATTGGGCCATTTCACTGGAGTGCATGGGAATAAGGCTTTGTACTAGTTGTGGTCGATTACGCTACACGGTATCTTGAAGCAGTGCTGCTATGCACCATTTCTGCAATAAGTGTGGGGCAGGCGGTGTTTCAGATCCTCAAATAGATACTGAATGACCAGGGCACACCATTCTGTAAATCTGTTCGGACCAGTATGTACCACCCTCAGACTGATGGGTTGGTGGAGCAGCTGAATAACACTTTAAAGTTCATGATTTGTACGTTTAGTCACGAGGATGAAGGCAATTGAGATCGCTGGTTAGCACGTCTGTTGTTTGCGGGAGGCCTCCACGGGGTTTTCTCCCTTTGAGTCGCTGTTCCGCAGAAAGCCTCAGGGGGGTTTGGACCCAGTTAACGAAAACTGGGAGGAAGGTCCAAGCCTAGCAAAAAGTTGAAATTTAAACACATTTAAACTTTTTAAATAATAATAATAAAAAAAAAGTTAATCACATTGATTTTACATTCTTTCCAAGTGTCATAATGTAAAGCCAAAAAGGATAAAAAAAATAAATAAAACTTTGAGCTTGTTTTAGGAGTAAAGCCACACCAAATTAGAAGAAACAGAAACAAGCACTGGTGCCCTTTGATCTGTTGTCTGATGATTGATGGAGAGAACTTCAAAAAGTGCATTTTGGGTAAATTTTGAAGGGTCACATCAGGTATGAGATGTGGTTGCTCTAAATATCTTGTCTCCCTTTTACCTATATTTAGCCTCAGTAAATTTGAGTTTGGCAATCCTGGGCCAAAATTACATCATTAGTAAGGTTCAAATGACAACTACTCGCAAATATTAAGGAAGAATGTTTTATTGAAATTAAAACAACAAAAAACAAAAACAGGAAAACAATGTTAAAGAGGCCTATGCTCTCCTAGAATTACAGCTACTTTTCAGCTATTTATTTTTCCACAATTAAAGATTCTGCTTATAAAATGCCATAATTCATCACACTGCAGAGATGGATGGGAAATTTTAAAAAGAAAGATACCTGTGGGAACTTGCCATTTAAAAAAAAAAAAAAACCAAGGGCAAGAACAAAAAAACTTTTGAAACGAAAAAAAAAAAAAAAAAAAAGAAAACTAAACTGAAGCTAAAGTATGAAATCAGCAGTTAAGGCAAAACGCTGAGAGAATCGCTCAGGAGCGTTTTACACAGTGAATCAAAGGAAACAGTATTTATCACTTCACTTATATGCATCTATCGTTGGCACGAGCTACTATAAATATTTGTCAATTACTTTTCTTGGGAGGGATACATAAGATCAAAAATTGTAATTATTTAAAATATGAAGTCATTTAACAGTATGAGTCTGGCATTGGGTGTATAAAAAGATATTTTTCCTACTTTTATAGCAGAATGTGGGTGTGGTGCAAACAGACTGTAGCCTTAAAGAAACTCTTTGCTACTCAAAACACTCTTAACTTGTGTTAACTTCCTAAAACATGTTGTGAGTTTACAAAAAAGGAAGGAAGCACGGCATGGATCTGATGGCTGACCCAACAGGTGCTCTTCAGCTGCACAGAGAGAAGTGCAAAAAACAAAATCCAGGAAGTCTTATAAGATTTCCTGCATGTAATCTTTTGCTGAATAATATTTGAGGGATGAGAAGTCCAGAGGGTAGAGCTAAGAGAAAACTTCCGCTTTATCATTAGAGGAAGTAGGGGGTGGTTGTTCGAGGAGGTATCACACGTTCAGAGTCGGGAACGGCTCGAAACAGCTTGGGCTCTCGTCTGTTGACGTCCTTGAAGACCATGATGGAGGCAATGTTCCCACAGCGGTAGCAGTAGTTGGGCGCTGACCACACGGTCACCAGTTTCTCATCAAACATAAACTTGTAGCCTTCATGAACCAGCTGGTGTGCACGGCAGATGAGCTTCAAGTTGTTGATGTGAACAAACTAAAACACAACAGATTAGAGAAGTAAGTAAAAGGAGGTTGACACACCTGGGTTAAAGGATGCTTTCCAATGACTGGTTTTCCAACACGGATGGCTCAACATACCTCATTAGTAACCTTGGAGCCAAAAAGCCAGCCAGCACCTCGTGGACTGATAGCCCAGGTGTCCACATCCTCTGGATCTGACCACACAAGATCACAAAAAGCCCCCTTGTGAGGAATCTCCTGGTTGCGTTCGATGGTTCGGATCTGGTCCAAAGTCTTGATGTCCGGTGAGAGACCACCATGGACACACAGGATCTGCTCATCTATCAACTGGGATTAGGGTTTAAAACATATTATTATGAACAAATCAATGAATAAACCCAAGTCAATAGACATCTCTATTAGCAACACTTCAAAGTTGCCATCTGCTTGTCTCTGTTCTACTCTTTCACAAACTGGAAAATCCTGACAGCAGAACAACTTTCAGGAAAGTTTGAAGTGCACTACATTCAGCTGCTAAAGAGCGCTCATGAGATCTGGTAGCAGAACTGAAGAGGGCAGTGTCAGAGTGTTTTCACACCTTCTGTTTAAATCAAAGTCTGGTTCGTTTTCCTCCTTGGCCAGATTCATTTGTGCAGATGTGAATCGCCAAACAAGCACACTGAGACCATTTGGAGGAAGTGGTCTCAGAGCAGTTCTGAATCAACTCCAGAACGGTTTGTTTATGGAGTGAACATGATCTGACCTCAATCTAGAGCTGCAGCTATCGATTATTTTTGAAATCAAGTAATCTCTTGATTATTCCATTGATCAATCATGTAATATGCTAAGAAATACTTTCTTCTTATTAATAAGCAATAAATATTCCAAAAAGAGAAAAAAAAAACCCAAGGCTTTCAGAATGAACTGCTCACTGGCTTTTGAGAAGATTTTAGAAACTGCAATGTTTTAAAACAAATCTGTGAACAAATTTAAACTCAATTTGTTCACAAAGCTGAACCCCCAGTATGTATGTGCCATATTAAAATTCTTTTAAAAGAAACATTTTCTTAAATACAAAAATACATAAATAATCCCAATACAGTCAAAAGACATATATTCAATCTAAACTAAGGCATAACAAATTACCTTTACTATGTCTTCTTTCTGGCTTACTAACATTAATAGGAGGCAAAAAGAGTTCTGAAACGAGGCAGTTCTGGTGTCCGCTCATTTTTGAGTTCAGTGTGCAAGTAAACTTGCTATCAGACTAAGTTAACAGTTCGTCTGCATATTTTAATATAAATTCAAGAGGCTCATTGGTGCATTGGTTAAACGTCTCCATCGTTTAACACATTGGCAGGCTACACAGCCTTGTGTTAAACAATGCATTGAAGCAAAGAATGTGTGTCGAAGATTTTTTATAATCAAATTATTTGAATAACTCAATGGATCCTTGCAGCCCTTGATCCAAACCAACTACCAAGTGTGCACTGTAGCCATGTTTGCTTTGTATTCTAGATTGTGGAAAGGTACTATAGATGCAAAAATGATCTTTATGAGCTAGCAACTAGCTGTGAACGTAAATTCTCCAACGGTCCCGAAAACACCACCTTCTTCCTGTATTTGCTCACGCCCCAGACACACCTGGCCAATAAGTGGACTGAATATTCTCACATGGTTTCTAGCGGCTCATTCTGGTTTCCTTTGAGTTCACTTGGATTTTTCTCAAACCAAATCATAGGGAAAAGCTACAAGTTTATTAACTCATAAATTGATTGGGACCAGAATAAACCATCTATAGATGTGAAAACACCCTTACTCTACAAAAACGTCTCCCACACGTTACTGTTCTTACTCTTCTCTAAAAGCAAGAACACATCCAAAATCATGAGCGAGCTGAAACCTTGGATGCATAATTGCTTGAAATCTATCTTCCTGCTGTTGAAACAGACTAGCTTTAAGACTTGCAATGACGGTCACGGTTATGATTCTGGCTGTGTCATGACCATTTTCAATGGGTTTAACACTGATGCATGTAGCGTTTATGCATAGAGTGAGTTGTTTTCTGGCGTTCTATATTTTTGTGTTGCTAATACACCTGTTACAGAAGATTATATGGATACTTATATATCCATAAGATCATTAAAAGAAAGAAGTAACCTCAGAGTACTTTTTAATTGAATTCCTGGATAATTATTGCCTTGATCCTTGTTGGGCTCTGTCTGTGATGATGAATGCCGTAATAAATATTTAATGCAAAGCTAACTGCCTGCTGGATAAAGGCACCTTTTAATATTAAAACCCCCCAAAATTAAGAAAATGTAATGTAAACCAGTGTGCTCTTTGTTTTGTTGTGATGCTAAAGACGCAATGTTTTAAGTTGGAGCTTATTATGATAATGTATTAAATGAAGTAACAAGCCTCCATTTACATAAAGATAGCATACAGGGGGTGAATAGTTACTTAAGATGTCTTTATGGATGCACTGGTTCCAATTACGCTGCATTTAAAAAGGAACAATAGTTAAATGTCATGTAACCGGAGAGAAGGAATCAGACTTACAGCTGCCACAGTCAGCATATCAAACACTTTCGTGCAATACCGCCAGGCATTTGCATTTCCATACTTTGTCTGACACTCATCTAAAACAAACAACAGACAAACAGAAAATGTAAACCATTGTTAATAATGAATTTTGAACTTAGTAAACACACAAAAAATGTATTTCCATAAATACATGAAGTGAAGTACATACCATAAAATCCATACACTTGAGTTATTTGTCTGCTCTCATGGTTCCCTCGAAGGAGTGTGATACGATCTGGCCACTTGGCTTTTAAAGCTAGCAGGTGTGTAAAAGTCTCCAAGCTATAATATCCTCTGTCTACAAAATCTCCCTAGGAAGAAGAACAAGAAGACATTATTAAAGCCTCAGACACTAAAAAGGTTCTGGAAAAGGTGGATATTTGTATGAGAACAGAACACCTGCTTTTTATTTTAACTAGTTGCATTAAACTTGCAAATGCATACTGGTTAAAGCAACATGTAACTAGCGATGTTCCTGGTGACGTCGACTAAACGAAGAAACAATATAAACTAACCCACTAGTCTAAAAGTAAGAAACGCTCAGATATTAAGTTAAATTTAAGAACCGTTTAATGGGAAATTTCAAAAACTAATAACAAAGGCATCTGAAACTATTAATCACGTTCTTCAATAATGAGTCCTGCCACTTAAATGTGCGGCACCTCACATCATGCATTATCAACATTACACGTTATTCAAAAATTCTCAAGGATAGGTTTTCATGGGCCAATTCAGCTGCTGAGAGGCATTACATTTTTATATAATGGCATTACAACATGCCCAACAGCCTTCATCATTCAGATTTATTTAAATGTGCTGCAGCTCAGGCAAAAGTAAAGGGAGCTTACTTACCATGAAAATGTAATTTGTGTCTGGTACTTGGCCTCCAGTTCTGAAGAGCTCGCATAGATCATAAAACTAGAGAGGAACATTAAGAAGAACTCATCAATGAAAATATTAAAATTAGAACTAGCACACGTACCAATAAAACCTGAAACCAAAATTAACTAAACTGGGGTACGAAAAACCCCTTTTCCACTAGTAACTACTTGATTCAACTTGTTTTTTAGGGTTTCCCAACAGGTACCAGTACCGGTAAAAGTACCTGGTACCAGGTACTTTTTTAGTACTGACTCAGCCGGAGTTCCAATGAGCCGAGTCAAGCCTGACGTCAATTGACTGCATGCCATCACTGGATAAATCAAGAGAGTGACTCCTTCACAACAATCAAACCCGGAATTTTTGAATCCAGGCAACGAGGGAAATGGCTACACACAAACTAACACCGTGGTCCAATGACAAGGTGCAGATCTTTACTAATGGTTTAGCAGCGAGTATATTATTGTCTTGATGTTCTCAGTTGTTGTGTGCCATAACGACCTCACCCACATTAATTGCAATTAAAAATGACTGGAGCAGAGTCGAGCAGAGTCAAGTTGAGCAGAGCCAAGTAGGTGCTAGTGAAAAAAGAATCCTAACTTAACTTATTTCCAAATGATATTCATATTATAAATGCTTTTTATGACTGCAATAACATATTGCCACCAATCCTATATTGGGGTGGCTGTAGCTTTAGAGGTAGAGGTAGAGTGGGTCATTTACTGATTGGGAGGTTGCCGTTTCAATCCCTAGCTGCTCCAGTCTGCATGCCAAGCATCCTTCAACAAGATACTAACCCCAAGTTGCTATCTGATGCCTCCATCACTCTGAATGTGTGTGAATGTTAGATGGAAAGTTCTTAAAGCATAGAAAAAAGTGCTTGTGTGAATGAGGCGTGTTATATAAAGCGCCCTGAGTGCTCTGGGAGAGTAGAAAAGCTCTACATAAGAATCACTCCATTTACCATCTAAATGGAGCGATTCCATTTAGATGGTAAATGGTACGCTTTTCTTGTTAGAGGTTTCTTTCTCTCTCTTTTTTGCTACAAGTTGACTCATGGCACAGGGTACACCACTGCTTATGATGGAATGAGACTTGTTATCCCGGAAGAGCTACAGAGTAGACAATGGTGCTGCAGAGCTGGAGCTAAACAAAGAGCTGAGGTGGAAGAGTGGGATATGAAATGTGCATTCCAGCTATTATATGGGGAATGTGAGGTCCTTGGATAATAAGATGGACAAGCTTGTAGTGGTGATTCAGACCCAGAGCGAATACTGATTGGCTTCCCAAACTTGCAAAAACAGTTGAACAAATCTGTCCACCTGAAAAAAAGTGGTGAAGTCTTGGACAACTTCACATCAACAGCATGCTGAACTGAAGCTGCAGACAAGAAGGGGCTAAGTAAAAACTGTTTCCTAAAACAGAAGTTCTTCAGGATGTGCAGCAAATATTACAGATGCTCAATCAGTCTGTTGTGCTTTTATTGCCATTGTAAAACTCAATTTGCTTTGTGGATGATTAAAGATTTTACTGGTCAATAATAATAATAACAATAATATTCACTTCTGTAATCAAAGTATTTTCAAAATATGGGATATATAAAGCACTTTTTTTCTTCTTCTATATTTTGCCCATGGTGAAAATTGTGTATCACCCTGGGAGAAAATTATAGAAGAAGAAAAAACAAAAACGAAAATCACACAGACCTACCTGACC